GTGTGTGTGTGTGTGTGTGTTGTGTTATTTCTCGTGAAACGAGATCATTATATCTGTCATCTAATTGATCTCTTATTATATTAAGAGATTATATTAGAACGTAACTAGTTCTGCCATCTATCATTTCGGACTCAACGGAAGTGGAATTTTATTGAGGACTTTTTATCGAGTATCATCGTTTTTTTCACTTTTTTTCGAGAACTTTACATGTGGGTCAAATTCTGTTTAGCATCGACCTTAACTTCGTTCTGCTATTTCTGTCGAACTCAATACGCGATTAAGTGGATTCCTTTTTACGTTAGATGTAAATGGGATCCGAGATCTGGATTCGTATTTGTTACCTCGAAGATACCAGGTGTTTCCAATACGTAGATGTGCGGTTTGTCGCTGCGACAAAAGATTCACCGTGATTGTTACGTTCCATGTTGCGTTTGCCATTGTCCTTTTTCGCTTTCAAATTCAGCACGATTACTGCGAGTTGATAGCTGACGAACATTTCATATTATTTGTGCAATTGTTCAATTTTAAAAACCTACCGTATTTTTGTAGAATGTTATATAATAAAATAGTTATTTTATTTGTAGTGTATACAAAATAATTAAAAACATGGAAATAAAATAATTTGATTCATTTCTCTCTTAAATATTACAAATACTTCTATTATTGTTAGTTATATATAATGGTTATTAAAAAAATTTTGAGTTTTATTAAATGAGATTGTAGTTTCATTTACTAAAATGCATTTACTGTTTAAAAGCATGCAAACTTATTTTCTATTATTGTAAAGCAATAATAATTGTAACAGTTATAATAATTTTTATTCAATCAATTACTTGCAATAATATTTACATAAATTAATATATCTGCGATAGAAATATTAAAACTTATAATAAATAAAAGTTTAACTTATTGTTAGACATGGTAGGAACTCGTAACATTTACATAGATGTCGTTGTATGAATGATTAAAGAGACTAAACACGCGAACATACGTGTTAACATAAAATAAGTCGTAATAGATTGTAATAGGTCGCATGTAAGTCACGACGTGAGAAATTATTATCCGTCATCAAGATTCTATTTTCTGTATGAAGAAATGCTAAGTGGTCTGCAAAAACATCTAGTCGCATGCAGTGAAACTATATTTTTCTCTTACCTGCATCATAAAGCTGTCAAAAAGTCAATGAATGCTGATGAAATAAGTGCTAAATTATTCTTGTTTTCACACTATTCTGTAAAAGTAAATCTTTTTTTATTTTGTGTATATTCAGAAGAAATATTTATTAAATTATAAAATACAAAATATAAAATGGCTAAGAATAATCAATAAACTGATTGTACATTTTATACATATTTATATAATTTATATTATTATTATATACAAATAATGATTCAAAATCTTATATAAAATTTACTTAAATCTTTTTAAAAAATAAGAAATATTATATATAATATTTATAAAAATTTTCAAGCAGCTTTAGGCACTTAAAGATAATCTTTAAAGATAATCTTCTCACTGAAAGATCAGTTATCTTAAGTAATGTTAAATTTTTAGTATCATATTGCAAAAAAGAATTAAAAGAATAATTAAAAGTGAAAAATTTATTAAAAGAAATTACTTTAATCAAATTAATTTTTCATAAAACTTTTATATCTTTCTTAGTGTTATTTATTCGAACATTTTCACAACTATACTCTAAAAGATTACACAATGCTTACTAATAAAAATTCATATATATCAAAATTACTTTGAATTCAAGATAATGAATGAGCACACTTTCTAAGATTTAGGAAATAAATTTATTACAATTGTATAGTCACGATTAATATTTTATTGAATGCGTAGTTAGAATGTTTAGTATTTACATTGATTCCACGTATTCAGATAAATAACGTTGATGAGCGCGAGTCCGCGGCCGCATCGCCACGTATCGTGCGTGCCGCGCATAAAACTCGATGTATAATTAAAGACCGTGAGCGCTCATCGCATTTCCTATCGCAGAATATCAGGCATATCGAGCTTTCACGAAACACCGGCAATCGCTGAAACGCAAGAAGTGCACTATTTAGTTATCTCCTTCTTTACCTCCATTATTTTACACTCCAAAATCTGAAATACCGCTAAATATTCGAAGGAAAAAAGTCTAAAAGAAGTATAAGGCATCCAGAAGACGGTACAACCATCTTTTTAAAAGTACCTTGTCTTCTGGATTTTTACGTTATCACTTTTAAGAGATCAAAAACATACCTTTGTTTAATGGGAAAAATCTCCACCGTCGGTAGAATAATGTATAAGTCCCGATTTTTTTCGTTAAAAATAATTACGTGTAATTTGTGCCTCAATTGCTCGCATCGCTCGTATGACGCACACCATCTGAGATTGGAATATTCATCAATCTTGAAGACGTATAAAAGTGGGTATACATCAGAAGAGTAACACAAAAAGATGTGGAGAGCAAACTCTCATGTTCGCCATTTCCTCGTTTCTTCTCTGTAGTCACGTCGAACATTCATTCGGTTGAACGAATATTTGCATTTATCATTTATTTAAAGATAGATATATACTGGGCAAATAAACAGTGAGAGTGCTTCAGTGTATACCCACCCGGAGAATCGCGAGGTGTGGAGAAAGAACCTCTTCGCAATAGTGATGGCATTGCGAGAGGTCGACGGGAATTGAGGTAAGGCTTCTACAGCGCGGAAAGAACGTCGCTTCGTCCACCTCAGGCTCGTGTAATCAAGTTGTCGCGAGAAATCTGCTTGTCTTATCTTGTCGCGATTTCGAAGAAACATACACCAGCTCGAAAGAAGATTTACTTAACTCTCTGCTACCGGCAAAAGACAACAAGATTACTCTAGAGCGGGATTTACAGCCGGGATTTCGCACATTTGAAATATATTTTTTTTTATTGTTGTACTGTATTCCAACCGTCGCGCAATATTTTTTTATTCGAGTCTATGTTTATTTATTTATTAAAACATGTTTCAGATAGTTTTGTTTTTTGTCGAATTTGATTTATGAAATAAAAATGACTTTATGATAGCAGATTTAATCGATTTATATTATAACAATATAGATTAACTTTAATCTTGGTTTAAATTATCTTTTTCTAATTTTTTCTTAGAACTAGAAAAAGATAAAAAATAAGTTAAGCCAAAATTAAAATTCATCTATATCGATAGAAATGGACATTAATCGAAGAGTCGATTCATCATTATTTCGGTTTTGCTGATCACGACAAACAGAATTTTCGCAGCAAATCTCTACGTTATGCAATAACGTATTATATATACGATGAAAGCTCGATCAAACGTTATCGTGAAAGGGATTAAATAAAAACATGTGTAATCAACGAATGCGGCAAACGATAAACGGTACAAATCACTTTAGGATTCGAAAATATGACTGATACCACGATTAATTGAAAGAACGATAAATCGAGCTTTTGTCGTGTACATTTGTTTGTACGTAACGAATATATACGTGTATATATGTATATATGTAGAATGCACGTACGAAGAAAACGATTCACCAATCACGCACACCGAAAGATATCAACGAGCCGCATATCGAGCGGAATGGTTCCCATCGGGAAACAAATTTCCTGCGAGAAAACTGAGTTTCCTGTCCAAACAAATCAGGGACTCTTTTTCCGCTTACACGACTTTTTCACCAATGCGTATCTTACGACGTACCTTAGTACCATAGTTCCGTAATCCTCTGGTCTCATTGCGATCTATATGGTTACATCCGAAGTAATTGCTAATTTTATTAGAAGAAAATAATATTGCACAGAGCTTCTTAAACAATAATAAAAATACACAAATAATACATATTTCCGAAATAGAAATACATTTACGATAAATTCATTATCAAATTTATCGTGGCTGTGTTATTATGGTATGTCCACATGGTTAGATGTAATTTGTTATTTCCGGATATATTAATGAAATTATTGATTTTTTTTTATAGTTTTTAGAACTTTTTAAAATTGTTTTGTACAATTTATCATCACAACAAAATCTTTAAGTACAATAAGAGAAATTGCGTACAGTAAGAGAATTGTATTTGCACGTTGAAATTTTGTTTCTCATTTTTATTATGGACAGAAGAAGTTGGATTGTAACTTCGCGCGCAACGAGACGTAGAATTACGCAAAAATTTAAGAATAAAACGTATCTCCTACAGTAAATCACTAGCTCAATTCCAAAATAAAGTACAGTCGTCCCGGCAAACACATTTACGCGGCACTCGCGCGAGAACGGCCCCAAATGGAAGATAAGGTGCGAAGAGCTTTACAAGTGTGCACCATACCGAGACAAACGGACTCGCCAGTGACTTTCTGTCTTTGAGCTACAAGACACCATCGGGCACCCAACACACGCGGCTGTCAATTCCGAATAGTGTCTATCTATAGTATACGTAAAAGAGACACACGTAAGATAAACCAAGTTCGTAGTATCACGCGCACAATCATCCTCGACACACCGGAGTTTCTTCCTAGGTTAGAAGTGAGTGGAACTCGTGCCAACACCAGGCAGCAGAACAACGACTTCGAGAACTTGTTTCCTCACCGGGCCCGCCGTCAAGTCGCGGAGGACACGGGCCGAAGAATGCCGCCGGGACGGCGGTAATTCACGTCGGGTAAAGGCTCGTGAAACTCGGTATCCTCCAGCTGACGGCCGCAAGGAGGGACACGAGAAAGTTGCTCGCCAAAATTGCCGGGCTGAGATTCCTTCTGTCGCCTCCGTGCATTGCCGCTGGTTTCTCCTCCTCTGCAACGAGATTAGAAAACTACGTTTCATACGCAGTAAAAAGGGGTGGCAGGGATACAAACCTGAGTGGGCTGCTTAATTTTAAATTATCTTGTCCACTCGTAAAGGGCTTGTTGAATTTACTTCCAGTAAAACGCTTGAAATAAAACTATGATACGTTTATGTTTGTTTGCAGAATCAATTATGGTCCCAACAAAAGTTTTCGCATCTTAGGGATTTTTAATTAAGGAATATGCTGGAAAGTTGTGGACTATATACTAGAATCTCATTATCAACTTTGTTTTTATTTTTGATATATCTTATATATTATTTGCTAAACACGCCTCAACATGTTATATTTTATAAACACACATCCCTCGAGGAATATGAATATTTTTAATGCAAATCGTTATTTTCTCAAGAATGGTAATTTGTTTTTAATAAAAAAGTATGAGATATAACAAATTCTCTTTATATACGTATATAAATTCTGGAAATAATAACTAGATAAATAAGAGCGGATTAATAGTGAACAAAAATTAAAATATTCATATATCTTTTCTATCTTTTTTTCTACCTTTCTGATAATAGAAGATATTTTAATGATGATATACATGTGTAAACTGGAGCAGAAATTCTAGAGAAAAATGAAAAAGTATTCTTTTCACATGAAGCGGTAAAGCCCTCTCTCGAGAGTACAAAAACAGCGTTTTAAACGATCTTAGGGGTCATCCGACATTTTTAGTTGAGATATAAGATGAAACGCGGATTTATTTCACATTTCTTATTGTAGCAAATACCGCTCGACAATCTGGTCACGTAAGTACGTGACACTCCCAAGTTGTTATGTGCTACAGCAGCGACATGGCAAACAGTGAATGAATATCTGTCGAACTTTTCAAGTTTTCTAAGGCAGTTCTCTTTTTTTGTCTCCTTAAATTATCTCAAAGTAAACCAGTTTTTCATATATTAAAATTTAATTCGAATAGACTTCAGTAAGCAGTATTTTTTATAATTTTTTTTACTAAACTTTACGAAAAAGGAATTATATTTTATAATTTATTTTTATATTATTTTTTATAATTCATCTTTTTTGCAACTCTTCATACATATATCGTAATTTCCAATAAATTTTTTTATCTGTTATACAGAATCAATCTTTAGCAGCTGTAATTTCTTTTAACCTACTAATATTGTTTCTAATTTTTTATAAGAATAAGTGTATTTGATTAAAGAAAGATTAAAATTAAACTTGTAATGTAAAGAAACTTGCAATCAGTACTAATGCCTAGGAATACTTTTGACGACTGGCGATGTCATGTCGCGAATATGAAAAAAAAAAGATTAAACAAAATTATGTAAGAGAAGGATATTGTTTTATGTAAGGAGAAAATAATAGATAAGTTTGATAATGCCCCACGGACATTATCGCGTTGTTACGTAGTTGTTAAGCGCGTTAAAATGTAAGTAAAACCGACACGAAGTTATACACTGTACTTTCAAAAAATTGTGTTCGAACTTTGTCTTCAAACAAACTTAGAGATTTTGTAAAAGTTTCGTTAGAGAGACGGTGGTACAATTTTGAAGCGTCCTTCTGTTATCGTGGGCGAGTTATGCGGGATTGCGGAATGAATGCGTCTGCGAGAGCCGCGCTAAATCCGATCGTAACGGCTCTCTAGCCATTTAATTGTTCGGCACTTACTCTAATGAATATTCAAGTTTCATGGAAGTTCTTCCCGGCTGATCAGTGGCTGATCTCTTCTTCCCAGAAGTAACTAGAGCGAGTTAATTATCATCGCGTTTTAATCCGTGAATTCGGCCTACTGACACAATCCGTAAACTGTTTATGCTGTAGAAATCTTTCTAAAATTAGATTTTTACAATAGTGGAATTTAAAGAGTAATCAATAAAGTTTAATCACCGAGAAACATCAGAGATTCCCTCCATAACATATTGTATATACATATATTAATATGTAGTATTATTACTAACTTGTGTAACATTTGCATTAAACATTAAATATAAAAGCAGATGTATTTTCTATTTATATTACGCTGAACATTTTTTGTCCGCAAAGTCAAAATAATTTATTAACAAATAATTCTGTTTCATTTAAAATCTGGAGACGCTGACAGCTTGGCGCTAAGCTACGCGTAGCGAGACACTGCTGTGTGACTACTTTCTTATTTACTTATCACTACTATTTCAGATTATGACGCCAGAAGTAAGAAGATACGCTATAAAAATTCTTACAAAAAAATATATTAAAATTATTAAAATAAAATTATTAAAATAAAAATATATTTTGATAAAATGATATTTTCCGAAACAAAAAGATGGTGGACATATTTTATGAGTCTTCAATAATCGTAAATGTATTAAAAAAAGATTCTATTTGAATTCATTTTGTAAGAATTTTTATTGTATATTTTCTTGCTTTTGACATCACAATCTGCCATAATAGTAATAAATGAATAGGAGCTTTAACGTTCCATATTCTCTCTATGAATGTTCTTACAATATAATTTCACGATACGTTTGTAGCAATCGTTTATATTATTTTATGTACGAATATGCATCTAACTTATAGACATCGTAAATATCGTCATTAGATTTTTTTCATCATAAATAGCAACTGTTTGCAGACTACTTGTGTATGCCAATAAGCATCAATAAGCATTAGTCACTTGTTTTGCTTTGTATTGATAATGTGAAAAATACAACAAGATAGATCTTTTTTGGAAACTTTGATTCTTTAATATATGTAGCTGTTATGCAATTTGCAGAAAAGATTTTTATATTATCAGATAATATTTATCCAGTATTTTTTATTGAATCGTTACCTCTATGTTGAAGGATAAATAAATGAGCTTCCATTAAATGGATTAAATTCATGATGCAGTGCGTCTTTCTTATCAAGTAAAAATTTAAATTGTTATATTAAACGTTAGATATATTCGTCGATACTAATTGGCACGAAATAACATTTTATTGGATTAGTTTCGCATTTATACATTTCTTTTAATTAACCTCAAATCTCTCAATTATCCTACAATTGTCGGCAAGACTAAATTTGACTAAAATTAATGAAGGAATAGCTTCATGTTTCTTACCTTCGATCACGTGAACCATGACAAACGCCGCTTTGGCGTTGCTAGGTACGCACGTATAGTTCCCTTCGTGCGTAAGCTTCGTTTTGTTCACCGTCAGAATGGAGCCGCTTGACGTGAGCTTAACATCAACGCCGGGCTCCTCGTCGTAATTTATCATACGACCCTGACGATACCAGAAGACATAAAGGGGCTTTTCCGTGGCCGCCATAAGTTGGCATTCCAAACGGAGGTTCGAACCTTGCTTCACGTGCAGATCAGGTGCACCTGGTATTATCGAATATGCCTCCGTAATCTTGAGACGGGCAAAGTTTCGCTGTACCGGATGTGACGTTACCTGCAACCATAATGTAACAATATCTTTAACTTTTCATAGTACATATAAAAATAGTACATAGTACATATGAAAGACACAAATTCGAAAAAGTTGAAACATTCAGATAACAATCAGAAAAATATTAAAACTAAAATAGCTATTATTTTGTGATAAAAATGGATAAAATAAATTCAAATACTATACTGGCAGAAATCTGTCATTTCTATTAACATATAGTAAAAAATATATATTTATAAACTGCTTCAATATTTATTAGAAAGGATTCATTCGTTATAAGATAATTAGTAATTTCCTATTGTCAATCTGTAAATTTACTTGATATTACGAATAAAAATCGTTTTTATATAAATTTATCTTTAAATTATCTAAAATAAATGAGTTTATACACAAACACAGTTATACGTTAGTTGAAATAATAATATAAATATAGTATACAATATACAAAATGATGTTAAGAAATCAGGTTATACCGTAACTTGAGCATTTTCGAAAACAATGACCAATTTTAAATTATAACAAGCCACGCTTTATGCTGTAATGTATACTATAAATTGTATTCACATAATCAAAGCAATGTTGATTGTCCTTTAGAGAATTCAACAGGAGCTAAAACTACGGCTAATCACCGCGATGACTTGAAACAGTTTGTGAGCGACCGCTTTAGCATTTCAGCTGACATTTTAGACATGCAAAACCTTTAACATAGTGTACATTAGAAATTATTCAATTAATCAGGTATGGCTTGAAACAATCATTCAATTGATACTGAAAATAACTCTTTCAATTTCGTATTTTAAAGAAAGCACTTTAATTATTTCGCAATGAGATCTACCTTAGACTTATTATTTAAGTCTATATTGATGTGTGTTTTCATTATTATGAAAGCTTGATGATGTGAACTATGAAAATAGATATTATTTCACTTATATAGTTATGTACAACCTCTTTCTTTTATATATATATATATATATATATATATATATA